GGGTCACCATATCCCGAAGTCTGGGCTTCCCTAAGGAGCCTTTTAACCAGGTAAGCACGTTCCCAAGGGTGACAAGGGGCTGAGAGAACAAGCTGCTCTCCCTGTCTGTCCCGAAGGTCGTCCACAGCAGCTGAAGCAGACACCCTCCTTCCTATCAGCAAGACTGTACCCCCAAAATGGCCCCTAATGGGGCAGAGGGGAGGTAGGGACACAGGTCAGAAACACCACTAAAGTTGCAGTTTTGATCCTTAGGTCTGCAAATGGGGGAGACCTCCATGGTCCAGACCCCGATTCTCAGAATAAAAGTTGGGTTCTGGAGGGCAAGTGCCTTAATAGAAAGGTCTAGAATTGGAGAGTTGGTCACTAGATCAGCACTAACCCAGTAATCACAGAAAGATGTCTCATAGTCCCCTACTCCCTCTCTAATGAGGGATAGATAGAAGGGCATACAGGAATCCAGGGGCTTTTCTGGGTCCTCTCTCCTATGCTGGGGTTCTTTCTAAGCACATGGTTCCCCTAAGCCTCTGCAGTGACCAGGGAAGGCCTTCCATATGCCTCCCATCAATCCCCCCAGGCCAAAGGCTGCCTTCTTTTCCTCAACCAACAGCCACCTGTCACTGAGAAGCTATAGGGTCACCCACTGGTGGGGTCTGCATGCTATGCCCTCCCTTCCAGGCCTGATGAGTTTTCCAACTCCGAGCCTTTCCAGGCTCTTCTCTCCTCCAAGCCAGCTCTCCCTCTCTTCTTGGTGGCTGCCTGCCTGCCAGTTCAGCTCATTCATCACTGTCTGGTGATATGAACCAAGGGATGACTCACTGGCCATGACAGGTGGAACCTGGGGGAGGGCCAGAGGAAGGAATCTGCAGTCACCCTGAGACCCTGCAGGCCAGCCCAACTTCCTCTGCAGACTAGCTGTGGGAGGTAGGAGGGGCTAGCCTCTGATACCATGCCCCGTTCTGCTTCCAGTAGAGCATGTCTATAGGTCCCTCAAGGGTTTCCACTTGTGATTTCTGGACCCTATCTTTTTTTTTTTGGAACACAAATGTCTAGTGATATCTTCAGCTTTGTACACCAAGACTGGGACCCAGAATAGAGAGGCTTCCATAGGGAAAGGAAAGAGCAGGCAGGCCACAGGGGTGGGTATGCCAAGACACTCTCATGCCAGGCTTACTGCACCACTCCCCCCAAATTTCTGGTAAGGGAACCCTTCGCTGCCTAAGGCTAGAGTCTCTGTCAGGGGGTGGGTGCCAGTCAGGACCACCTAGGAGCATTAGACCCTGAAAGCCAAAAAGCCCAGGGTGGGAGGGGAGCTACAGGAATGGGGCCCCTGCTCTGTGGGCCTCACCCTGGAAGAGCCTCAGTCTCAGAGTCTGGAGAGGCTAAGGGCTCCTCTCCAGGGCCTTGACAAGAACCCTGTATCATGCTCAGGAGAGCCAAGCATACCTTCCTCTTCCAGGGTCTCTGTTCCTCATTGTTACATTGGGAACAGATTAGGTCAGGGCCAGCCACATTTGTTCCAAGAGTGGAAATTCTTTTACAAATACAATCTTAAGTAAATTCTCCATATAGCGAATCTAGGAAAATGTTCTCAGTTGGTCTGTCATGGCAGCACAATGTGGGGTGCATACCAGGTCTCTCTGGAGTCTTGAAAACTTCCAGTTCTAATGGGCTGAGAGATGTGTTCATTCTCTAGGGACGCCACACATCTGAGTGTCTGAGCCCAAGCACTACCCCCAACACACACACATACACACACACACACACACACACACACACGCACACACACACACACATTCTGCCTCTCTAATTTCTTATGCCTCAATTGCCCTCCCTGTCCATCCTGTCCACTCTTGGCTACAACAGGGGCCCCCCAGCTGCTGTGTCTGTATATCACCGGTCACCTTCTGTGTAAGCCCTTGTTGGGCTCTGGCCTGCTCTGAGCATTCACCAATGATCTCCCAGCCCTTGCAAGCCCCACATTCTATGGAACTGTCTCCCTCTGTTCCCCAAGCTAATCACATTCCCCAGAATGCTCCCTACTCTCTTCAGCCTCTGATGAATGTCCTCTCCTCTCAGTTGCCTCCTCTGACCACCTGTCTAGAACACCCTCACAGTTCCTCACTTACCTAGCATATCATCTCCTCTGAGGACATCAGCCAGTGGGCAGGACCTGGTTAAGGAGTTGTTAACTATCCTGAATGAATGGCAGAGTCCTGCATAGTAGGTGGAAAAAGTGGCTTCACCCAGTGTAGCCAGCAACCCATCCATATTTTCTCTCTCATCAGCCAACTGTTTCAATGAGAAGCAAATAGAGTTTGCTTGCAAAGACCCTTAGACTCCTATATCAGGAGCCAACACCCAAAGGACACACCATCCTGATGGTCACTTGGCGGTGAGGTAGAAGGTATCCCCCAGCTCCTCAGAAAGGAGAGGACTCTGGCACAGCAGGGTATAAGAACAGTCTCAAAAAGCTCTCAGGACCAGTTCTGGTGGTGGGAGGGCTTAGGGGTGGCTTGGGCTAAAATGCCTTTGAGTCTTTCCCCTGATAGTCCCTGGGTACCATATTGCCCAGCTCAGGGGCAGGGTGTGCTGGAAAGCACCCCTAGTACTTGAAAGGGATTAGTCCCTGAGCAGAGAGGAGTGCTTCAAGAAACAGAAGTCAGAAGGAAACTGGCTTTGGTGTCTGTCTGCAGAGGGCAGCCACCTATGATGGCAAGTCTTCTGTCAGTAGGAGCATGCAAACACATTTTGAAAATGTTGCCCTGGGGTTCCTACACCAGGTGCAAGATTCTACTAATGCTATTTAGGAATCCTTCCCACATAAAAGGGGCCTCTAAAATACCAAAGCATTTTAGTAGTAAACCTCCACTCCCAGAGTGCTTAGCATGTACAGTAAGTACATAGGGCACTGACCTACGCAAGCCAGAGTGACAGCTTAACTCCTACACTGCATATGGACAGCTGCTAAAATACAACTCATCTGGGGGCTAGGGAAAGGACAGCAAGTATAGTGTTTGCTATGTAAACATGAGGACCTGAGTTTGATCCCCCAGAACCCATGCAAAAGCTAGACAATAACCTATAACTCCAGTGCTGGGGAGGGCAGCATAGAGACAGGTGGACTGCTGTAGCTCACTGGCCAGTCAGTCTAGCTGAATCAGTGAGCTCTAGGTTCAGTGAGAGACCCTGTCTCAAAAAATAAGGGAGAGAGTGACAGAGGAAGATACAGGACATCAATCGCTGGCCTCTTGTGTATACACAGGTTCCCACATATACAAAACATAACTTATCTGATATAACCCCAATGAAGGACTGGTTATAAGACTCCTGATTTATGTGGGAGGCAGAGGCCGGCTCACTTCTCCCAGTTACACAGTTGGCAAAGGGAAGGGTCCCACCTAACAAATGACAATAACAGTTGAGGAGGATGTCCCTCCCAGCCAATCTGCTGAATGCTTTCTACCAATTTAATCCTGAAAAACATCTTGTAAAGGGTAGCGACTGTTGCCGATGAGTAAAAGTAAACTGAGGCATAGATGAAATCACTGATCCAGGCATGAATAAGGAAAGGCAGGAGGAAGTGGGGTAGGCCAGGTCATTCAAGGGGAAATGAGAAGTAGATGAGGTCAGGGCCTGGTTCCTCACCCTCCTTTCCTGGCTGGCTCTACTCTACCATCCAGAGTGTGGCAGATACTTGCTCCCCTTCCCCAGGTCAGAATTCCCACTTCCAAGGGAAGCTTCCACAACATAGAATTTCCGGACTGTGGCTGCTGCTGGGGTAGGAGGTGGGAGGCAGTCAGATCTACTTGGCCTGAGGGCCAGGTCAGGTCACTCCCAGTCCCTCCCACAGGAGTGGGGGCCATCACCCTCCCATTGTCCTGTGTCAGATCCAGACTGCACAATACAGCTCTTCAGTTTTACAGGGTGGAGACCTGAGGCCCTGGGGGATGAAGTCATAGAGTTAGACCAGGCAGCCAGGATATCCAGGACCAGGCCCGGGACTTTTAAATGGAAAACAGGGAATGGATCCCCAGATAAGCCTATCAGCCAAAGCACCCCGGAAAAACCCTTGGGAAGCTTTTGCAGAAATCGATTCCTACCTGGCGCCCCTTCAAACCCAGCTCTTCCCCTACCACTCTCTGGACTGGGCATGGCGACACAACCTCCCCCACCCCCAGGTGTACAGCTCTGGGCAGTGCCAGAGGTTGAAAGGGGGGAGGGGGCAGGGAAGGGTTTGAAACTAGGGATCCCTTTTGCATGCCGGTTCCCAAGCCATTTAGCGTCATTAACTTCTTTGCGGAGTCTTCACTCTGAGGATCTCACTAACTATAAGCACTCCAGGCACCCTGGGCCATCTCGCGCACCACGCTTCGAAAAGGCCAGTCCAAAGGTCACTGTCCCCAACCGGGCCGTTGGGCCAGGAGAGGGGATCCTGGTGCGGCCCCAGTCCAGGCAGGAGGATCAGCTGCCAGGTTAGGTTGCCTCAAGTTGTAGGTGCTTGGGAACCACCACTCTACTCTTTGCTGGGCCTCAGGGCCCGAGGGCGCACCCGGGGGTTCGGGCAGAGCAGCGGTGCATCGGGGTGCACCGGGTTGGCGGGGCCAGGAATGTGCGTGCCCGCTTTCAGAGTTCAGACCTGGCAGGAGCCGTGTCTACATGGCCACCCCGGCTAGGACACGTACAGGTACAGACAAATTCCAACCAACCAAAGCCAGCTGCCCAGCCGCAGAGTATGCGCTGCGTTTCCAGTGAGCCAAGTCTGGGTTTCAAAGTTTAGACAAGTTTCAGTGCTACAGAGTCAGTTCACCCCGTCCGCCCATTTGCCTGCAGAGCCGGGATCCCGCCTCGGTCCCGGCTGGGGGTGGGGGAGGTCCATTTCAGCACGACCCCACGAGCTCCCGCAGCCCGGGGTCCCTCCGGACCGTCCCAGACTCTCGGAGACCCAGGAGAGCTGGGGGGGGACGGGACCCAGGGAGCCGCGGGTGCGAGCTCCCACTTACCGGGCGAGGACGACCGGCGCCTCCGCACGGCTCATGGTGCGGCGGGCGGCCGGGGACGCGACTCCGCGGGGCTCAGGCGCGCGGTGATACCCGCGGGGCGCTGGCCGGGTTCTCCGCCCAGGCCAGGCCGGGCGCCGCCACCAGCCGCGCGCCCAGTGGGGAAGCGCGGGGCGGCCCGCTGGCTTCTACTTCCTGGATGGGAGCGCGCGGGGCTTTCAGGAAGAGGCTGGCCCTGGTGGTCAAGGGCTTTGTGTCAAAAGCCATCCGCCGGCTGAGGCTCGCGGGCGGCCCGGAGCCCCCTGGGGCGCGCAGAAGCCTGGAGGGCCGCGCCCCAGGGGCCGGGTCTGGCGGTCGGCGGTGCCAGGGTTCAGAGCGCCGGGGTCTGGCTTCGGGGTGCCGCCTTCGCCCGGGGGGGCCCCTGCGGGGGGAGGGAACTTAAAGGAAAGTCTCCAATTTGGCCCCAGGCTGCGAGGCAAGTAGACGCCTTCCAACCGCAGGTGGGGAGACCCAGGGCCCACAGGGAGCCACGACCTTGCGCCCAGAGGGACGTCGATGACACTTACCAACCGTCTCAGCCGCCAAAGCAGGGCGCCTCCTCCATGTCCCTGACAGGTGGCCGTGCTGTCTCCTCTTGGATGCCGCCTTTGTCCGCGAGCTCACTGACCAGGCAGTCAGCATCCATCAAGACTGACATTGCGCTTAGACTGGGTACCACACCTAGATAGCAAACAGAGGCAGAAAGCCTACCCTCTCACACAACTACCCTGAAGCCTTTCCTCTAAGTGCCCAGACACTAAAAAAATGTCTCCTGAGCCTGCTTTGCCAGGGGGACCGGGTGGGTAACACGGGACCCCAAAATATCACCTTGCCTGATGCAAAGTTCTCAGCCTGGGCACTATTTAGACAGTTAGGGACAGATGATACTTTGTGCTTGGACTGTCTTGTGCATTGCAGAAGCAACCCAATATCTATCACTGGCCTCTACCCACTAGTTACCAGAGACATACCCTATCCAGTGATACCTTAGGATATTCAATGGAGACAAAATTCACCCAGGTGAGATCCATTGGTCTAACAATTTCATTTTATAGAAAAGGTTACTAAGGCCTAGAGAGAGGGCACACGGCCAGTCAAAGCGAAGGCTGAAGTCCTGGGAATGTACTCTAAGTCCCTCTGCCTGCCTCCACACCTCTGCTAGGCTGCCCCCCCCCCCTCTTCTGGCATTTCCTCCAAATCAGCCTGTGGATTTGCCTGTCAAAAGAAGCAGCTAACAGCACAGCCTCTTGTTGGGAATGAGGCAGCCACTCTGTGGAGCAGCCTGGCACTTCCTGAAAAGGTGAAACAGAGTTACCCTGTATCCAAATCCAGAGATTCTACCCCCAATTATGCACGGTGCACTCTGGATTCTCTTCATGTGTGTATTGAGTTTCATTTCTGTGGCCCCAGATAAAATACCCCGATAAAAAGCAATTTAGGGGAGGAAGGGGCTTATTTCAGCCTACAATTCCAGGTTACAGCACAACACCTGAGGAAATCAAAGCAGACACTTCAAACAGCTGGTCACATCATATCCACAGTCAAGAGCAGAGAGAAATAAATGCATGCCCGCTGGCTGGCTGGTTTGTGCTCAACTGTTTCTCCGTTCTTTTACAGTTCAGAAACCCCTGCCTAGGAAATGGTGCTGCTCACAGTGGGCTGGGTCATTCCTCATCAATTAATTAATTAAAACAGTCCCCCACTGACATGTCCACAGGCCAACCCAATGTGGATGATCCCTCATTGAGACTCTTCCCAGGTGATTTTACTTTGTGTCAAGTTGACAATTAGGCAAACCATCACAGTGTGTCCATTCCAAAGCTTGTACACCAGTGTTCATGTCAGCCTGTCAGCTTTATTTGAATTAGCCAGGGATGGGGCTGTAGCACACTTGTCTAGCATGTGTGAGGCCTTAGGTTTAATTCCCAGCACGGACTGGGAAAAAAACAAAAAATAAAACAAAACAAGAAGCAAACACCTACTATTTGTAGTAATCAAGATATAGAAGAAATCAAGCATTTATTCAGTCGATGAGTGAATTAGCTTGTTGTGGCATATTCAGGGCACTAGGAAATATTATTCAGCCACAAAAAGGAATAAAGCACCTATAAATGTGGATGAACCTTGCAAGCATGCTAAGTGACCAAAGCCAGTCACAGAGCACACATTCCATTTGTATGAAGTGTTCAGAATAGGCAAATTCACAGACACAGAAAATAAATTGGTGGTTGCCAAAGCTCGGGAAAGAAGAAAGGAGTAACTGGTAACGGCTACAGTTTCTTCAGGGGTGATGAAAACGTTTTTAAATTGACTGTGGTGACGGTTACACAACTTTGTGGCTATACTGAAAACCATTGAATTATATGCTGCAAGTGAGTGGAGTGTACCCTAATCAAAGTAGTTTTTCTTTCTGAAAAGCACAAAAAAATGTGGTCTCTAGAAGGCCACCCTGCCTGCTCCAGCCCACACTGCTTCTCCCTCTATATTCCAGATTGCTGCCAGCTCCCCTCCCAGGCCCCACAGGTTTCTCTCTTCTGGGGTTCCCTGGGCCACAGGCACCTTTTCCACCATTTCCCAAAACAAGGCTGTAGCTTCCTATTTGAAAGCTGGCAGTCTCATGCTCAAATCAACTCCAGGATCTTCTAGATGGGAAGCAGTGGGCACATCCTTCCCAGAGCCTTGCTTGTGCCTCTGTAGTAGAGTGAGCACAGATGAAGGAAGAAAGCACCTCCTCCAAGGAGCCATTTCTATTCTGCCACCCCTCAGCGCCTCTGTAGTAGAGTGAGCACAGATGAAGTAAGGAAGAAAGCACCTCCTCCAAGGAGCCATTTCTATTCTGCCACCCCTCAGACAAGCCTGCTGACTATTCCCAAATGTCCCTGGACCCAGGACGGTGGTCCATGCTTAGTACTGCACCTGGACAGGCTCTTTAGGCTGACTGAGATAAGAGTAACCCTACACTTTGAGTCCCAATGGGGAAAGGTTTCCTTTGGCTCCAGGGCTCTGTTGGGACATGGGACAAACCCCTCATAGCCTGGGATAGCCCCAGGCCCTCCTCCTGTCCTGGAGGCCTCCTATAGATCTACTCTCACCTGCTCTGAGAAGCCACAATTCCTCAGGTATGCACAGTGGAGATGCTGCTGCTGCTGCTAACTGACCTAGGGCAAGGGTAAGGTTGCCACAATTCTAGAAGGCCAAGGAGCCACTGCTGGTGATGACGTGCAGTCAGGCTGTCTTGGCCCTCTTCTTGGATCCCTTTTCCATTCCCAAGTCCTCACCTGCACGCTCCTCCCTAGTCTCAATCTCAGCACTCTTGGAGGGCAGTATGATTTGGGCCTGCAAGCTCCTTCCCCTTGTTCACTGATTTGGTAACTGAACCCAGGTTCCCTTTAAAGAGCCACTCCTACCCCCCACCCCCATCTGTTGGGTTCAAGTGATGATGACCACACCTACCTGTCATTTTAAAGATTTATTTTAGGGTGTATGTTTGTATAAGTGTATGCCATGTGTGTGCTGGTGCCCTTGGAGGCACAAGAGGGAGTCAAATTTCCTGTAGCTAGAGCTACAGGTGAACCTATAACACATGCCACTTAACATGGGTTCTGGGAAACAAACTTGCATCCTCTGGAGGAACAGGAAACCTTCTAAAACTCTCAGCCATCGCTCTAGCTCCCCCATTTTAGAGGAGGCAAGTGATTCTCCTCTGTACATCAAAGCCCTACATATACCCTTCACTGTGACTGGTTCAGAGACGAAACATCACTCAACTGGGTCCCCAACAGAAACCCTAAGGGAGGCCAACTCTGAGTCTCCTGGAGTTTCAGGGGTTGTTAGTGAAGACAACGGTCTCACAGCTCAATCTTGCTTTTCAACACCCCCCAAATCTTGCTCTGATAGGATTGAGATAAGATCTTTTAGCAGACAGCATGTTTTGTCATGCTGTCTTGGATGACAAAAAGAGCGAGGACTTGGGGTTTCCAGGGTTCAAAGCCAGTCTTTGCCACTTAGTGGCTGTGCAACCTTGGGCTGGTTACTTTGCCTCTCTGTGCCTCAGACTCCTCATCTGTAAGGTGGGATAATAATAATGCCTGCCTTAGCTATGAATGTTACCAAAGCCAATGGAAGTAAGGTGCTTTGGATAGAAGCTGGTGTTGAATGGCTGTTTGTACTGTGACTGTACTGTGTCAGTCTAGTCTTCCAGGAAACAAATGGCTCTATTCATTAGACTAATTTGAGAAAGACTCAAGAAATGCATAGCAGTTAGGTGTGATACACGCCTCCCAACACTCTGAAGACCGAAGACGGTAGATGGCCAGTTCTGGGCCAGCCTTTGCTATATGGGGAGACCCTGTGTCAAAGGAAGGAAAGAAGAAAAGAACAGGGGGAGATGTGAGTGATCATGCCACAATCCCCAAACCTGTTACAATCCTAAACCCAAAAGAGGAGCACGTGGTTACCAGACACAGATTTAGACAGTCCTGCCCTGCAGAGACCACCAGGCGGGGACTCATGGTGAGCCTGAGAGGAGCCAACCAGGAAGGTAAATGCTGGACTCCCGACTCCCACAACCCTGCAGTGACTGTGGTGGCCCCATTGCCAACAAGGTGGAAGCTGGAAGACTGGATTGGGCAGCTCATTGGTCAGGGCCTGTGTGTTCCTTGGTATGGGGATCAGACCCCAGGGCTTCTGACTGTGAACCTTGGTCAGAACAGTCAAGGCACTGGACTTGCCAGCTTGGCTGTGGTCAGATAAATGCCACTCAGCTGGCTGTGTTGGTGTTGGGACAGAAGGGTCACCAGATGAGCCATCTTAAACACCTGACCTGGGGGAACTGTGAAGCAGTGAACTGATTGCTGTTTGCGATGTTTTACTTGGCAAATATAGGTCAGCAGAAAACAACTTTGAAAGTTTGCATCTTCTTCTGATGCCTGGCAGGCTCCCACACCTCCACTCCTTGAGTGGGGACAAGCTATTATTGCAAAATCAGTCACCTGTGCCAGGGCCATATAGAAACACAAATACCTTGCCTTGACTGGGCAGGGTCTGACATGACATGCCACCAGGCTCTGCAGGAGGAAGGAGCAGCTGTCAGCAGACACAAAGGTCTGGCACACACATCCTTATCTCTCAGGTGGAGCCTGAGCACATGCTGAGTGTTGCCTCTGCAGGCAAGTGCTTCAGCCAAGTCTACCAGGCTGGGGCCTCATTTGCATGCTCAGCCGGGGAGGAATCTGCTCCCAGGCAGGGGCTTTGGCAAGACTGGACTCCTTGAGGGCTTTGGGCTAAGGGCCTCAGCTGTCTTCCTCAGCACCTTACCATGTGGAAATCTCCCACAAGGCTCCTTGATGCCTCAA